TAAGTGGCAAGCTTCTGCTTGCAACCTCTCAGTCGCGCAACATCTGTTCGCGATGCGTCGTCCAGCTTCAAATCAGCGTTCTGCCCGCACAGGATGCCTCGGACCAACAACTCATAATTTCGCCCCGTGCTTTCCCTCCCAGAGCCCGCAACGAATTCTCTTTCGTGTCCAGAACGGTCAATCAAACGTAGCAAGGGGGCCTTTGGTCTCCACTGCTGGCCGCCTTGTGTTTTTGCTGGCATGGCTACGGCAATGTCGCTGTCAAAGCTGTTCAAGCCCGGCGTGCTTGCAAGCTACGCTAGTCCTGGGAGTCCTAGGAATCCTGGAAAGCCATTTATGTAGCAATAACAAGAAGAAGCAGAAAGGAAACTCGCACTTGCAATGTAAATAAACCCTTGAGCCGGCGCAGAACAATGGACAAGTGCCTTGGTCTAGACAGGCCTCTGCTGCAAAGCGACAATCGTACCAAGTTGCTTGCCTTCTTTTGCCAATGCCAGAGAAATGGTCCACTCGGCGCGAACCACGCGGCCATCCGCCCGGGTGACCTCATAACAGAAACACACCACGAATGGCTGCTGCAAGGCAACTCCTCATCAAGCAGGTCTACGAAGATCCCCGGAGAGGCTTCGGGAGCACAGCAGACACCCTGCGGCAAGCCCGCCAGCAAGACCCCAACGTCAGCAGGGAGGATGTGAAGCGATTCATGGATGGCTTGGTCACTCGAGAGGACCGACCCCAACGCGGCTACAACAGCTACGTGCCTCCGGAGCCGATGCACCAGTTGCAAGTGGACCTCGCTGACATGGGCAGCTTCGCGCGAGGACCCTACCCCTACATGCTGGTCGCGGTGGATAGTTTCACCAAGAAGGCTACAGCAGTTCCGATGAAGGACAAAACAGCAAGAACAGCCGCCGAGGCATGGAACAAAGTAGTTACGGATCTAGGTATTCCCGCCTATGTGTATTCTGACGATGGTAGCGAATTCAAGCGCGAGTTTAAGGAAAAACTAGATTATTGGGACATAGAGAAGCTAGTCAGCAGGGGCCATGCTATCATGGCTGAAAGAGCAATCAGAACTCTCAAAGAAGCGTTGGTGCGAAGACTCAGCGCAGGCGTGGGAAGGAGGAACCAATGGCACTTGCTACTACCAAATGTCATAGAACAGTACAACGATCGCAAGCATGCTGGGACAGGAGTGACGCCAAATGAAGCTTACGACGAACCGCGGAAGGCACTGAAAGCTCTGAGAACCATGCAACGTAATGCCAAGCGAGGCGCTGAACCGAGACCTGAGTTGAGCGTTGGCGATCAGGTTAGGGTCAGGGTTAAGCCTATAGATGGGAGGGGCTCGTACAGAGTGACCGAAACTGCTTGGAGCGAAAGAGTCTACATGATATCTAAGGTGGATTACACTAACGCGGGCACGCTATTCACGTTAGAAGGCTGGGGTGGGGGTAGGTTAGTAGCCAGGGACTTACGCAAGGTACAGGGTGAAAGACAAAGACAGTTCCCCATTCAAAGCAGAGAACTGCGAGCAGCCAGGACGGCGGCTGATCGAAGAGCAAATTTCCCAGTAGGTCCGCCAGCTCTGTGAAGAGGACCTTGTAGCATGAACAAAAACAGAAGAAAAAAAAACGCATGCGTTGAAACTCACCTGGACAACAGAAACGCGACTTGCATTCTGTTTGTTTTGCTGTTTGGAACGAATCTCAGAATCAGCGGGACTGTCCGAAGCCGCTTCTGTAACCTCCAAGGCCAGACAGTCTGTACACATGCCAGCGAGGAGCTGTCCAAAATGAAACAGCGCATGAGTTTCTAGCTCAAGCCTCTCAAAACTCCTTTGAAGCTTCCACCTCGCATCTCCAGGGCCAAGTACCCCGCGTCAGCGACAAGAAAGCTGAGCACCTTGTCCACGAAGCAGGCCGGCAGACTCCGTCCACTCTCATGCAAACCGAAGGCCAAGAGACAAAGACTCACGCAGGGCTCCGGCATATTGCGCCAATGCCCGTGCGGGCGGCTGTTGCACCGATCCAGCTGCCACACTTTGTCGGTGAAGGGGCTGAGGCCTATCTCCTGCACCTTGACCAAGTTCATCACGTGGTTCTTGGACTCGAAGCGATATGAAATCGACGGAGCACCAGGTTTGCCCTCCATCCAAACTCGCCGGTAAGCCTCGTGCGTCATCTGCTTTCGCTGTTGTTTGGAGAAGCCCTTAGCCTTGAACTTGCGGTAGAACTTCGCGGCGTCGGTCTGCCACTCGCTGTAGCACTTCGGTCCGAGGGCAACGACCTCCACGATGCACAGGGGAGCTCCTTCATCTCCAAAGCCTCCCAGTTCACCCCTTCGCTCAGCAGCAAGCTTCGCCGCCTCAGGACAGGCGCCCAAAGCCAGCAGGTACTTTTCGGCCTCTTTGACATCGCCGCCCACATCCCAGAAACAGGGGCTGTCGCCCTTGAGGTTCCCCTCAGCAAGCTTCACAGCAGGGTCCACCTCCGAAAAGATGTGGACGATGTCGCTGTCAGTGTCGGTGTAGATGGCGCGCACGGCAGACCGCTCGCTCAGCGAGTAGGAAGGGTCCACGGGTTTGTTCGCTTGACCATCGAAGATTTTGCGCAAGGCGTAGTGGTACTTCGTAATGTCCAAGCGAGCCTCATCCAGCACGAAGGTGCCAATCTGAGGGACGGACTTCAGCAGCGCGGGCTTAGCCTTCGTAGTGTACACCAGACCGAGGAAACCAGCCGAAGAGGGGTAGGAGTGGTAGTCGACCGTTCGCTCCCCCGCCAGTTGCTTCTCGTAGAGTGCTCGATCGGTGAAGACGTCGGCATTCCGGAAGGCCTCCTGGTTCTGAACGCTCTTGCCGAACTGCACACACATAGTAGTTTTCACCACCTTGTCCTGAAGTTTGCGCCCGGCTCTTCTAAGCTGCAAACGTTGAGTATAGCATTTTTCGATGAACGGTTTCATGAAGGCCTTGCAGTCGAACCGGATGATCACGTAGACCTCGCAGATTCTGATCCGCATAGTCTCCATGTAGAACTTGAGCAAGCGAAGTTGTAAGCTCTCCTCTCTGTGGAAGCCGAGGAACGGCATCAACTTCGGGTTGCCGGGCGCCTTTAGCAAGCCGCGATTCCGCATCAACACCTTGGAGTACTCGCTCAACTCAGCACTCTGCACGCTCATCCGAGCCGGGGGAGCCCAGTCGATGAAGTCGTGAGCTTCGCAAGGAACGTAGTAGGAGACCTTGACCAGGTAAGTCTCTGCGTAGTCCTCCGCGTTGTAGTCCGTCGCCTCCAGCAGGTCGTAGAGCTGTTTCAGGCGCTGCTTCTTGCTCGGCTGTAGTTGCACCCACTCGCCGCCGTCCATTGGAAGAGGTCGAGACATGACCGTCGGATACTGGGAGTTGACGTCAAACTTCTTCAGGTGGGAGGTGGGTTCGCTCTCGTTGAAGTCTTCGCCTATACCCACATTATTGGCTTTGGCGTATGGTTGAAAAGGATTCGACAATCCTCCACGCACGCTCTCGCGGATGATCCTGTAGATACCCTCATCGCGGACGAGTTGCAGCGGGCGATCTTTGCCAGTACAGCTTTTCAACATAGCATCCCAAGCCGCCGATGCCCCCGTGACATAGTGCGCCGGATCCAGGCCATAGTGTCCAAAGAAAGCCTCGCGATACGCCTCTATCACGTCTGCTAAAGCCATATCAGTATGCAGATACGCGTCGTGGAACTCTCCGAACGTCTTGAAGTCAAAGAAGTCGACGATCTTCTGTATCTCTTCATACTTAGCCTCGCTGCAGACCTCTCCGGTGAGGCGGCTATTGTAGTAGCTCCGGTCAGGCATCACAGGGTCCATCTCCCAGCACTCGGGACCAGCCATGCGCTCAAACGGCATCGGGATCTTCTTCAGAAGTAGATTCCATACCTGTTCGCGGTAGAAGGTGCGGTTCTGCTTCCACATCTTCGCAAAGACAGGATGCGCCAGGCGCGCCTCCTCCTTGAAGAGCTCGGCATTGGCGAAGAGAGGGTGGCGTTCGGCCAGCAAGGGGAAGGCCTTTGCAGGATCCTTCTCGGTGTTGCGAAGATCTGCAATCAGCGCGTCCAAGCTCGCGGGAAAGATGTTGCACGAGTCCAAAAAGACCAAAGGGCCCAGCCGCACTTGCAGATAGCGCTCGCCAGACTTCACCAGCACGCTGAACTTGAGCTTCTCCCACTCGTAGTCAGGCTCGTCGTCGCCGTCCTCTAGAGCAATAAGACGCTCCAAGTGCTCCTCGTTCACGCCCTCCGCCTCGTCGGACTCGTTCTCCTTGATCTCAGGTTCTTGTTGGCGTAGATGCGCGATGCAGCGAATCAAGAAGTAAAAATCAAATCCTCCACCATTATGGAAGTAGACAGGAATCACTCTTCTGCGCGCATCAAATATTCAGTGTAAAAAATGTCCATGTCATATGATGTTGAAATACATGATAAAAAATATATTACATAACATTAAAATATGGTTAATACGGATTAAATAATTTATTTTCAATATATAATCGGTTAATATTTTTTAATTGTTTTAATGATATATTTTTATTTTGTTCAAGGTAAACATTTAATGCTCTTTCATTTGCTTGAGAATTGACCACGGTTTGGGTGACATTCATTTGCATATGATCTTGATCATATTTTTGATTACATCCATGTATAAATTCATCAATTACACGGAAAATATTTTTTGAAATTGTTCCTTTATTTTTTGTGTTGTCTGTATATCATATTTTCTAAAATATTTGCGTCTTTGCTGTTTTAAATCATATGTAACAGAAAATTAAACCACAAAATATGAGAAATATTGTCCACTGTGCTTCAGAAAATGACGTTACATTGGCTTGGGTGGTCAAGATCTTTAGTCTTTGGGTACCAAGAGACAGGCCCATGTTTGCTGCCCCGGAATACAAGGTGCCTACTATAATGAACTGATACCCTTTCATGAGAATTTCCTACATGCCCATAGCAGGCGTGAGGCGCTTCCACGGGTTCCATCTCCACCCCGGTGTGGATGCTTAGACTAAAGCCAGCATGATAACCCCCAGAGCCACAAACCCAGGCCATGTAGGGCTTAGGGTGCCATAGTGGAGAATCAGATGAAAAAGACAATAAACAATGAATTGGAAAATAGGCTGTTCTAGGATCTATCTAGGCAGGTCTTTTACGAAACACTAGTTTTGTCTATCATGGATCTTTCCCTAGTTTGCACCCGACAGCCCTGGACTCGTTTAACCACGTTTAGTGTTCAGGGTTTTGAGTTTTTGGGTGCAGGGTTTAGGGTTTTGGGTTGGCACCCCACCCCTGATAAGGATAAGCACCCTCGAAATATGCGTGGGGCTGGGGATTACCGAAACGCCCTTACTGCACCTTTTCCCTCAAGCCCAACCAGGCCGGGGGTGCTCTTCTCAGCTTCAACATGGTGCTCAGGTGGCATGCGCCATCTTGGTAGAGCAATGGTTTGGGTTTATAGTCCCCCTTATGTAGATAGAATATGGGGTATATGGGAATGTTATTATAATATACCCAAAGCCATATTCCATCTACTTAAGGGGGACTATAAGTGTGCAGCATGCCATGGTAGTGTCCTGAATGGACGAAACAATGAAAAATGCTGCCTCCGTCCTGGCTCTCAAATCATGGAAGCTCATTCGAGCCCATTTTTCCAAAGGGGATTGTGAGGAAATGGGTTCTGATGTTGTCAACCTGCAGTACTGATTGAACATCATCTGGGGGTTGTGGGATAGTGCCCATGTGAAATGCCCGTAGTAAGAGAGCTGTGGTTCTTACCTTGCTTGGGGTTTGAGTTGAACTGGGCAAAAGTCAAGCCTGCAAGCACGTGGTTGAAATCCTCGAGCTTGACAAATCTCAAAGACATGAAAGTGCCACAGTTCAACCTCTTTGTTTGCTTTGAAGGTACTAGGCGCCGCCCTAGTGGAAATCACTGTAGACTCTAAACTCCACACCCTACTTTACCATAAACACTTCAATGTTGCCCTACCCTATATAACCCTGTATATAGTCGTTTCCATTTCATTTTACATTTGTATCTCCACTAGTGGGACAATGTCCCCAAACCCATATGACCCCTATTTCACCCTTCTAAATTTACCCTTATATAACCCCCCCACAACCCCTGCATGACCCCTATCTGAGCCCTATATAACCCCAAAATAACCCTTATGCCCTTTGCATGAGCCCTATTTGTTCCCAATCTAACCCCCTTCTATCCCCTGTATAAGCCTTGTATATCCATATTTAGCCCCTGGGGTCTATGGCTGCTGACCTGGCGCTCGACGCTCCTGTGAAACCGAAGTGGGACCCTGAATGGAGGGTTCAGGTCGGGAGTTTTGTGCGGGCTTTTGGCGGATCTTGTGCGGGTCTCCGATTTAGCTTTTGCCCCATGCAATTTGTGTTTGCCTAGCCTTGAGGGTTTAGGGTCAGGGGTTAGGTTCTAGGGTTTGGGGTTTAAGGTTTAGGGCCCTCAAGGGTTTATGCCACGTGACTCCTTTTCAGAATTCAGGGACGAAAGGAACTTTCCTGGTTTCAAAGTCGTAAGGGCAGATTTTTCTCATTAAACCCTAAACCCTAAACCCTAAGCCCTAAACCCTAAACCCTAAACCAAAAACTGAGGTTCTTCGCTATGTAGCGGAATCACCGTCATGAGAACTCCCCAAGGACCAAGAGTTCTTGAGACCTAATCATTCCAATGGACCCCATATAAACACAGTTTCCACTTCATTTTCCATGTTCTTATCTGTATGACTTTCCATTAGTATGATTATATCACTTTAATAGTGATATTATACCCCCTTGCAAGCAGTCTCGTGACTGCAAGAACCTCATCCAGGTCTTGACTTCGTTCGCAGCCATGTGTCACAAGCAAGATGCTTGTTGTTTTTCTTGTCCTTCCTTCTCATGCTGATGTTCTTTAGGGTTTCAGCTGCGTGATCTTACAGGGTTTTGGTGGCAATTTGATGTTGACCAAGGTCCTGCAAGGGCATCCCAGCTGAGTGGCAGCGTCAGCTTGCCACACTTTCGGCACTTTCCAGGCCTCTGAAGCCTGCGCAGCGTCAGCAGTTCGAGTCTTAGCCCAGTGACCGTTTCGTATCACAGTGATCCTGCTTATTCTCAAAGCTGGGATGTGACTTGGTCGGCCGGGTCACCGTTATATATACATATATATATATATTGAGATTGCCCACTTATTCAAAGTGTGGGTGCCGCACTGCCGCCCTCAATCCTGGTTTGTGGAAGTCACTGATGCGCACTGCTGACATTCGCTCAGTCAGAGCTCGTGATCTTTTGAGGAGACTGTAGTACTCGTATTCATATATAACATCACATGATTTAGCCACAGATGAGTCGCATGAACTATAGAATCCACACCTGCAGAGTGATTGTAATTCTGTATACTATAATATATGATAAGATACTATAATAGATTATAAGATACTATATTATACTATAAGATAGTATAACATATTATAAGATACTATGATATATTATAAGATACTATAGTATATTATAAGATACTAGAGTAAGCTATAAGATATTTTCATATACTATAAGATATTACAATATATATTAAGATACTATAATATACTATAAGATACCATAGTATAATACAAGATACTATAATGTACCATAAGATACTATAGTCTAATATAAGATACTAGAATATACCATAAGATACTATAGTCTAATACAAGATATTACAATATACCATAAGGTACTATAGTCTAATATAAGATACTAGAATATACCAGAAGATACTATAGTCTAATATAAGATACTATAATATACCATAAGATACTATAGTCTAATATAAGATACTATAATATAATATACCATAAGATACTATAGTCTAATATAAGATACTATAATATACTATAAGACCACCCATGGAATGAATGCATCTCTGAGGCTTTGCAGATCATGCTGGCGCTTGAGCGCCCCCAGTGAAAGCAAGCAAGGTGCTAGCAGGCTAGCCTTCCCCTAAACCCTAAGCCCTGAACCCTAAACCCCCTAAACCCCCTAAACGCTTGCCACTTCAAGGTTCGAGGTTCTTAGGGTATGTGGGGAATGGAGAAATGGAAATTACGGTGGTATTTCGGATTTAGGGTTTAGGCTGAATAACGGGATAGAGGGAGTGAGCGTAGGTTTTGATTTCTTAGCGGTGGGCACTGGAGGAAAGGGCCCCTACAGTAATAGTTCCTACATAATCCCTGATATTCGTCCTTAGAAGGAATCCTCCTTTTTCCTACCAGCCACCAGTAAGTTATAAGGGATGATACAGGGATGTTTCCAAGGATCCACTTGCTCACTCCCTGGTATGCGCTGCCAAGGGTTTAGGGCTTCGGGTTTAGGTAGAAACTCAGACGCTGGTCAGAGATGGACATGCGCTGCCATTCCAGCGTCAAAGCACAAGCAGCAGCTGCAAGGACCAACATCAAATTCAGCTACAGAACGATAAGAAGGAACATAATAGGGATCCTAAAATAGTAGTTTCCATTTTCTTTCCATTATCCCTATATACATATAATCGGGGTATAGGTGTCCAGCTGATACTATTCTTGCCCCTGCTAGGAAGGTCAGGTCCTCATGGCCACGTGATAATCTTTTGTTTCCCAAGCTGGGGAATGGTTCCGCAGAAGCAACACGCAATGTCAGAGAGGATGACAGTTCACGCTCCGAAAATGCGTTTCAGTCTTGACAGCTGCTGCGAAGTGTGTCTGATCACGAGAGTTGCACCATGGCTTCGCTCGTTGCCGGTCTTTTCATACCTCCCACACCGGGAAGAGGCCATTTATAGCTTCTGCTGATTTTAAAATTCTTTCTGAGCTAACATCTGACATGACATTCTACCAACCATCGATGTCTTTTCTCGTGGCTTGGTGCAGCATATGTCTTGCTTTCGAAGCCATAAAAACTTGTAGTCTTCTTCTGTTTCTTCTGCTGCAGGAGCTGAGCTGCTGTTACTTTGGTAGTGCCACTCCATCACCACTAGTACTGCTTCTGCTGCTGCTACTACGACGACGACGACGGCGGCCTCCCCCATCGACACTACCTTCGCCAACGCCACCGCCAATGCCACCACTACTGTTGCTTCTGCTGCTGCTGCTGCTACTGCAGCTATTTACTAATACTACTGCTGCTACTCTTACTGCTTTACAGCTACCACCAGTACTACCACACCTTCTACCATTTCATGCTTCCTCTTTACCTGCAGCTGAATTTGACAATGAATGTGCAGGCGGCAGCAGTGGAGCTGTTGGTGATCACTTTTGCTGTTCCCAGCGACGGCCTTCGCCTCCACGAGAGCAGCACCTGGCCACTGTGCTCACCTCGAAGGTGCACCGAAAGTTACACAGGGATTGGGACTTGGGTTTTGGGGTTTGGTTTTAAGGCTTGGGGTTTTGGGTGTGAGTTTTAGGGTTTCATGGTTTAGGGTTTTGTCTTATTTTGGGGTTCAAAGGTGTGAGTCATGGGGCTTGGGCTTGAGAAGGACCATAGAAGCACAAGCATATGACGAGCAGTGCGCATGGCTTGCGAAGGGATCTCAGAAGATCGGCGCAGTGTTTCAGCTTGGGATACGAAAGTCCCCAAAATGTTAGTTTCCCAAAATAGAGGGACCCCAGAATAGATCCCCAAACATTACAATCCTCTTTATGGCGACTCCCAAAATGCAACCCCTTATTTTGGGAACCTCCCCCCCTATAGGCTAGGATAATACCATCCGATCAGTTTTGCATGTTAGGAATATTTGGTCAAACTTCCCCTCAAGAATCCAAAAGAAGACCCGCACTCCCACCGGTCCCCGCTCACCGTGGTCCCGTATCTCTCTGTTGAAAACACAGGTTCACTCAACCTAGCCCGGTAAAGCCTGGAC